TGTAAAATATTTGTAATTATTGGTCTTATAGACCAGAGAAACCCCTAGTGGATTCTCAATACAAATTATTAAATAAAAATAAAGGCAAAACCTCACCTTAAAAAAAAATAAAAATAAAAAAATAATTTGAATATCCAAATATTAAACTATCAAAATTAATTTGTTTAGATTCATGGTTTAGGTCTAGTACAAATTGATATCTGAGGCACTTATATATTAATCATGATTGTACTGTTGTATCTTGAGAAGATAATAAAAGCCAAATATGTAATAAATAATGATGCATAAAATCGATGCATAAGATCGAATAATTATCATTGTTAATAAAATACTAAATTCGGCAAAATCATGTGATTTTACAATCCATTCTTCCATCTTGAAATTTGGATTTCTATCAGTCACAAGTTATATTTATTATAATTTTGGCATGAAATCCTATAGCAAATAAATAAAGAACTTATCTAATGCTAGATCTATTTTAGCATATGATTTCGCAAACATGAAAAACATCAAATTTTTTTGAAAAAAGGATATAAAAATAAAATTAAAACTTCAATTAAATTCATATGTGCTAGAAAAAGAATATAAATTAATTTAGAAAGTAGTTGTATTAATAAAATTTGCAGTATAGCTTTTTAAAGTTTGCATTTTCTTATGATTTATTTATAAGATTTAAATTAATTTCCAAAGATCTTTTTGTTAATTTCGGTTCTTTTCTCAGCACCTAGCCCATATCTTCTTTGTTACAATATTTTCTAAAAAATCGACTAGTAGCTTTAATAGAATTCCATGAGACTCAAATTCTTCGTAGTGAAATCGATTTGTAATTTAATAAAAAGCTATTCTCTAAAATTCTGATATTATTTAATCATAACCTAATTATTAAAATTGAAGTTATATAATAAACTTTCACTGTTTAACATAGTATATTATAAATTGTATTTTTTTTTTAGTTTATTACTTTAACATAGATACTAGAAGTTCTAAAAAACTTGCAAATGATAAAATATCTACTACCACTAAGCGAGGCCACAAAAAAAAGGAAATTAATCTTTTAAGCATTGATAATTCACAAGATAACTCAAATACTACTAAAAAATGAGACCATAAAAAGAAGCAAGAAACAACTGCATCATCATCTTTACAAGTTATGAATGAAATTATAAACAATACTAACAACTTACAAGGCAAATATTACTTTGATTTTGATTTTTGTTAATTATGATGTTTCATGATTTTTTTTTTTAGATGTCAATAAAAATAAGCAAGGTAAAAAAAAGATACAAAAAACAGTTATATCTTCGTCTTCACAGATAATTAACAAACTTATCAACAATACTGATAATTTACAAGGCAAATATTATTCTAAACTTTATTAATTATTTATATGATGTTTTATATAATGATTTTCTTTTTTAGGTGATAATGAAGATGTATAAGATTGCAATAAAAAACAAAAAATGATTACGGCTTCATCTTCACAAATAATTTATGAACTTTTAAATAATTCTGATAACTTACAAGATAATGACTATTTTTGTGAATTATATTATGGTTTTGTTATATTGTAATATTTTCATGATTCTCTTTTTAGACGATGATGATTTACAAGATAATGACTGCTTTGTAAACTTATTATTTTTGTTTTTCTATAGTGATATTTTCACAACTCTCTTTTAGATAATGATAAAATTGCAAGCCTTGGTAGATTGTCTCAATCTTCATTAATCATGCCTTTACAACAACAATCACCGGCTCCATGATTTAGCAATGAATCATCAGTCCTAGGATCTTCACGACAGTTTTTACCAACTTTAGGGCCAAGAGTTGTATCTTCAAGAAGATTATTGCCAACCCAAGGTTCAAGAACTAATGCTAATATTCAAAATGATTTCTACTAACCTCTGATTAGTCCATTAGTTACACCTTTTAAAAACTCAGCAACTATAAAATCAAACTCTTCCAATAATATGTCTAGTTATTTCAATCCCAATATGGTTATTCCATCACCATTTAATAACATGTCAATTTATCAGATTTGCTTGTGGTTATGTTCAAATCCAACCATTCTACAGCTTGCAAATAGCATGAATTTGTTAATACAAACTTTAGCTGCAGATAGCACACAATTTATGCTCTCTAGCTCTCTAACATTATCAATGACAATGCAAAGTCTATATGATAAGGTAGCTTCACTTTTTTTTTTAATAAATATCTTTATAAAATATTAATATATTCATATAAAAACAAAAGTTAGTCAAGACTATTTGGAAGAATTAAAGTGTCTTTTTCTTCGTGTTCGATATCCTCTAAAAAAAGTGTTTGAGAACTTGGTACATCAGATTATTAAATATGATCTCAATTCAGCTGAAGGTATCAAATAGCTTCAAATGGCTACAAAACACTTCAGCGATTTTCATAATAAATTAATCAATAACATTGAGATGTTAGTGAAAGATTTCAAAAAAAAAAGAACTCATTTAGTATGTAGTGTTATTATTCTATCAGCTTTTTTTTATTTGGCTTGAAATAATATATTTTTATTGTATTTGTAGTCCTATAACAAGTTCTTTACAAAAAGAAGAAGTTGTTGCATTCGTAGATGAATCTACAACTATTCAGGTATTAAATCAGTGGTTGAATACAACAAATATGGACGAATTACGTACTCAAAATTCAATGCTTTATTTACGCAGGTTTATTCAAAGCGCGTTTACTATTAATTATATATCAAGAGACTTTGAAGGAACAAAGGCATTGGATAGATTAACAAAAAATATTGCTGTTCTATTATAAAATAGCAAAAACTATGCCAGCAATATGCAATTGTAAGATTTTCATATAGTGAATCAAGATAGTATTGTTGATATTTAAAGTTTTGTTTTAAACAAAATTTGTTATTATATGCAATATTTACAAAACGCTGCAAAAGTATTAGATTATACAAATATAAGAAATAATTCAAGTTTGAAAAATCTTTACATATTTATTACAGTAGCAGTAATACAGAAATAGTCAAAAGTCTTATTTTCGCTAATACATTTGAATTTTCTAATTCTAACTATATACCATAAAGTACCAACCAATGTATTTGGATATTTACAAAGACTAGCACTAGCTAGATATTCTTCAAAGTTTAAAGATATTATTATTTGATATATAATATGAATAGTATCCAGATATAAATAGAATTCTTATCCACAGAATATCCCCAGGTACAACTCATAGGTCTATCGTATAGAACTTTATGGTAGTAACTGTGAATATTGAGGGTATATAGAGTGCAAGTTTGGTAGTGTAGGTAGTAGATTAAACATAAGTTTGATTTTGAAAGTTTTC